CTTGAATAGCACACCGGGCATGTGTGTGTGCATGCCCAAAATCCTGAGAGAATGGAGAAGGCACTGCAGCATGCTCATCGTCCATGGGGGGAGCTTTCTCACTTCCTCTGTCTCTCTCTCAGGAGTGCATGAACCTTACGGCAACACTGAAAAATACAATAAAACAAAATTCTGCTTCACACATTAGTTGCCCAATACATGACTGTAGAATGAATGAATGAACACATTAATGAATTTAAATGATACTACTTGGGATTAGCAGATGGCCTAATGGTTATGTCACTGGACTCCCATGTAGTCAACCATGGTTCAAGTCTCAGAACCTGTGGCTTAAAACACACCAGGCATATGTGTATACATGCCCAAAATCCTGAGAGGAGAATGGAGGAGAAGGGATTGTGATGTGGCCATCTCTCCCGGGGGGGTGATTTCTCGCTTTGCTTTCTATCTCTCTTGTGAGTACCTGCACCCTATAGCAAAAACATCTTTAAAAAAAAAAAAAAAGAGAGAGATGTTATTCAATAATGGCAAGATCCCTTTTCAGGAAAACCGTACAGTAAAAGCTACAGTTGTGTGGAAATGCCATTATTAGGCCATCAGAAAAGTCATGACACATTTTAAATGTGATGACCTAATAGTTAAACATTTTCTGATAACATAATAGTTACTCTGAGTTCGTAGCTAGGATGCAAGCTGGAGCCTGTACAAGCTGCCGGGTGGAATCCAGGTGAGATGGGGACTTGGCTGCCGGGCATTATTTCAAACCCTGTGAAGTCCCAGCCAGTGCAGGAGCTGGTTTGGGGTGGAGCTGCAGGTCAACACAACATTCTATAGCGTCCAATTTCTAGTCCTGGGGTCATAACATTTTTGTACTATGGACACCCTGGAACAGAATGGTGAAGCCCACATACCGTTTCTCAGAATAATATCTCTAATTGCCCAAACTAAAACATATAGGATTGGGACCAGCAAATGGCATAATGTTTACATTGCTGGACTGCCATGTGGTCTGCTTAAGGTTCGAATCCCGATGACTTAAAAAACTCACGTTGGACACATGTGTGTGTGCCCCAAGTCCCAAGAGAATGAACAAGGGATTGTGGTGTGGTTACAATTTCTCGCTTTCTGTCTCTGCTATCTGGTGAGCGCACACACTCTATAGCAAAAAATCTCTCTCAAAAAAAAACAAATAAAAAACCCCCATAGGATTGTAAAGCAAATCCGTGACAATGAGAAGTGATAACAAATATAGAAAAGGTAACCAGATTCGGTTACGGTAATATGTGCTTCTTTATTTACACGTGCAAGAACCAGGACAGTGAGGATCTGTAACTACCGTAATGTGCAGGTAACAACAAGCATAAAGCTACTGTGAACGTCTGCAGAGACTCTCACGTAACATCAAGATACCTGATTTCTGTTGCCATTCATAATGGAAGGAAATACCACATTACAGGTAGAGCTCATGGAAATAAAGATGCTCATTTTCTTCCCCAGTTAAGTTCACAGACTCCTGAATTCGAGTCCATTTCGCCTTATGTACAGTGTGCTTGGAAGAGCTTTCTCTGGGTCTACTTACAGTGCTGCAGGGAGGGCTGTTTATTGACCAACTGTCCTGTTGAAATGCTCAGACTACAGGTTTCTAACAAATGCTATGAAAATGCACTTACTACTTAATTTTTTCTCTCTTGTGCATATGAATTTATACAAAGGCAAAGCACAGATACGTGTGTGTAGATTTTCTGGAGTAAATGAGGTAAAGTTACACCGTCTTAACTACTTAATTTTTTCTCTCTTGTGCATATGAATTTATACAAAGGCAAAGCACAGATACGTGTGTGTAGATTTTCTGGAGTAAATGAGGTAAAGTTACACCGTCTTAACTACTTAATTTTTTCTCTCTTGTGCATATGAATTTATACAAAGGCAAAGCACAGATACGTGTGTGTAGATTTTCTGGAGTAAATGAGGTAAAGTTACACCGTCTTAACTACTTAATTTTTTCTCTCTTGTGCATATGAATTTATACAAAGGCAAAGCACAGATACGTGTGTGTAGATTTTCTGGAGTAAATGAGGTAAAGTTACACCGTCTTAACTACTTAATTTTTTCTCTCTTGTGCATATGAATTTATACAAAGGCAAAGCACAGATACGTGTGTGTAGATTTTCTGGAGTAAATGAGGTAAAGTTACACCGTCTTAACTACTTAATTTTTTCTCTCTTGTGCATATGAATTTATACAAAGGCAAAGCACAGATACGTGTGTGTAGATTTTCTGGAGTAAATGAGGTAAAGTTACACCGTCTTAACTACTTAATTTTTTCTCTCTTGTGCATATGAATTTATACAAAGGCAAAGCACAGATACGTGTGTGTAGATTTTCTGGAGTAAATGAGGTAAAGTTACACCGTCTTAACTACTTAATTTTTTCTCTCTTGTGCATATGAATTTATACAAAGGCAAAGCACAGATACGTGTGTGTAGATTTTCTGGAGTAAATGAGGTAAAGTTACACCGTCTTATCTGTAGGCATATGTAAATGAACAAAGCCAAATCCTGGCTAGTGCCCTCTGGGAAGGAAGCAGTTTCTCTTTACTGTGACTCATACCCTTGTATTGCTGGGATGGGATCAGCACATTCTAGTTAAAACAAACAACCAACCCTGGCAATAGAGGAATAGAAAGAATATTAATGAGTGGACTAGCTGATTGCCCTGTTGCTATATCCTGAGTCCCTCATCTCTCCCTTGTTATCAATCTACCTCCACGGTGGGTTCTTCCAGGAAGCTCGTGTCAAGGATTCTTTTAGGCTAGGACTTGACCTTTGCAGGGGTTGCTGCTACTGTCTCTTGAGCTGAGAAGTGCATGACCATGCACCTGTGTGCCATGGGGAATAATTGGGGCTGCCCACCATTCCCAGTCTGTTAGTGTTGTCTTATATTTAATTATGGAGGCGAAAGGAGATCAGGACCCAGCCTTTTTTTTTTTTTTTTGAGAGGTTTTCGCTATAGGGCGCATGTGCTCGCCAGACAGATAGAGACATAGAGACATGCCGGGCACGTGTGCGTGCGTGCCCAAGATCCTGAGAGGAGAATGGAGGAGAAGGGATTGCGGCGTGACCATCCTCCCTGAGGGTGATTTCTCGCTTTCTGTCTCTATGTCTCTCTCTGTCTGTCTGGCGAGCGCACGTGCCCTATAGTGAAAAACCTCT